CCGCGAATGGGATCCAGTCTGGAAGTACAACGGGAAAACCAGAAAAGCCAAGGGGAGCAATGGTAAGTAAGATTAACTTTCCTCAATAAAATATGCCATTCAATAACGTAGTTACGCCATTGCTCATTAGAAAATTTTTAATAATTATTAAGGGGTAATTATAATCATTCGTTATTTATCTATTTATATTTATCATTAAATTATTACTAATTACTTGTGAGTAACAGCTGACAGCAGATTTGATGTCTCTAGTCAGTATTCAGGTTACATTTACCATAAGAAACGTTTAGGTGTGGCAGCCATAACTTCCTTGATGAACCCACTTTATTTGCGAATATAAATATTTACTTCACTTAGTAGTTCTCTGACTTTTTTCAACTGGCAAACCCCTTTTCTGGCCTGACTACCAACTGCAACTATGAGCTCGTATTTATTTCTTCTGGTTCTCCTTTGAGTAGTTTTGAGTAGTCTTAATGTCGTCACTTCAGGACTCCGGCAGTAACCATACTCCGACTTGGTTTTGTTGTTGGCTCTGACGATCGGGTTATCATTAAAGTCGAGAGAAAAGATGCTTTTTATTCCGGCCGCCTACATCTGAGCAGATGTGCTTCTACATTTTCCAACAGGGGCCGTAGGCCTTTTTGGCCAGCCAGCTCAACCAATTTCATATTATTTCCGCTTGCACGACGACCTCCTGCTCAGCTTTGCTTGGCTCAATGGTGTTCCCATACCAAAGTTGACTTGGTCAAGGTTTTTTAAAGCTGGAGTGTAGCACTACTGAACTCGGTGTCAAGCGAGGCTGAGTGGGGGGTGGAGGGAGCCGATGGCGACACAAAAACACGATGACCAATTTAGGACAAAGTTGGCAAATTCATGTTTTCTAATGGCACCCCAACATGCGAACACACAAAGATAAGCACAGAGGTCGGTCACATTCATATTTTGGCCCATACCGGTCTCCTGACGGTAGTTTTCTTCTTCTACACTGAGAAGGTTTTTATATGCGCATTTATAGAGGCTAGTTCCGGAAAGTCGCAACAAATAGCCTCATGACAACCCATGCCATTGTCCTTAAAGCACACAAAGACATGCAGAAGCGCACGTTTATTCATGACCAACCTCAGGACTAAGCGAGACTGTAGCCGCCAACGACGGCCATTAGATCTGTGCATATTTGCAGGACTTCATCAGTGCCCATAATTTGTAGTCGAATTCTGGCTTAAATTCCCACGCCTCGAGGACTGAAGGCTGGTAAAAATGTGGCTATGCCAAGTAAGTGTGATCCTCTTAGGGCTTCAAGAGTCGATATTTTACCAAATAACAGCTTATCTATCGCCAATTATTTCTTTTACAAGGCATAAGTCCAAAAGATTGCAGCTCAGCCAATGTGATATAAGTAATATTTGTCATACTATCAAACAATGGAATGTTCACTGTCTACCTTTATTACAGAGCATAGTCTTTTGCTAAAGTAGTATGATACTCGGAAAAGCAAATCACACTCTCTCTGTTTCCTTAACAAGGGGGACAGCATGTGCTCTCATCAGTCTTCAACTTTGGAATATCAGTGGATTTCTTGAATAAGAATCATCCTAAAATCTGCTAGCAAAATATGAAAATATTTATTGAAAATATTTAATGTAATGTTACTTTTCACTTTGTATACAAAGTGCCTGATTAAAAGAGTCAAAGTTTAATCTCACCACGAGACGATGGCAGCTTCCCGTTTCTCTATAGGCGTTCGGCTTTACTTTGAGACTGAGCTTACTTCTGTTTCGAGTGAAGGGATTCGAAGGTTGATCCCACCAGAAGACGACCGCAGATTTATCTTAATCAACTGCAGATTTGCCTTTCTGGGACATTCTTGTTTACACTGTTGCCTAGGTAATCTCGTTCAATTCAGGTGTAAAAGTGCTAGGCTTTCGTCCGTCGTATGACGGACATCATCAGAGCAGGCTATCATCCTTACAACCACATTCAAGCTAAAGAGTGTTTTAGAAGTGGGTTGACCTCATTGTCGCAACTTGCTCTTGTGGTCAGGAAGACTATGTAGAACGCACCTAGTCCGAAGTCGTCTGCCATTGTAGTTGTCAGGATTTCCACCATCTGACAGTAGACTTGATACATTTTCAAACATTTCGCCGGCATCGTAGTCGGCATCATCAGTGAGCCTTGCCATTCTTCACACCAAGATACGAACTCGTCAAAGAGACAAGTGAAGTCAATCCCTCGACAACCGATGTGCCGAAAACGGTTACACTATCACTCCTCTTTACGAGGACTTTTTGACAATTATTTTGGAATGTTATCAAGAAGAATGGGGGAAATACATATTTGGGGATAGATAAAAGGCTAGAAAACTCTACCAGAGTTATTGTGTTGCCATTGCGTAATCTAGCAAGTGTGATGAGGCCACACTCGGTTTGCCACAAAAGGGCACACATTTTGACGATTGGAATGTAAACAAGTGTGAAGTTGTGATAGGGCGACAGTGGGATAAGAGTGTAAAGAGTAGATAGATAGACAGTGACAAAAAGAGGAGTGATAGTTTAACTGTTTTCGGCAGAACGGTTGTCGAGCGATTGACTTCACTTGTCTCCTTGACGAATTCGAAGCTTGGTGCCGAGAACGGCAAAGCTCACTGATGATGCCGATTACGATGCCGGCGAAACGTTTGATAATGTATCAAGTCCACTGTCAGATGCTGGTAATCATGATAACTACTATGGCAGACGACTCCGGACTAGGTGCGTTCTACATAGTCTCCCTGACCACAAGACCAAGTTGCGACAACGAGGTCAACCCACTACTATAAAATGAAAGGAGACTGCGACAATAACAGAGGCCAAAATATCTTGGTCTTCATATATTCAATTAACGAGTGTTTTCTTTATTCATTAGCTTGAATATGATTATAAGGATGATAACATGTTCTGATGATGTCCGTCATACGATGGACGAAAGCTTAGAACGTATCCACCCGAATCGAAGATTACCTTGGAAACATGGCCAATAAGAATATTTTAGTAAAACCAATTGACAGCTGATTATAAGAAATCTGTTATCGTCTTTTGGTGAGATCAAACTTCGAATCACTTCACCAAACCCTTTCACTTGAAATGGAAGTAAGCTCAACAATTATGAAGCAAGAGAATCCTCGAAACCTAACTTTTCTTCGCATTTACTTTGATGTCCAGAAAAAAGCAATCTGTAATATGTCCTTATTTGATTCAGGTGAAACTGCTCTGAGCTTTCGTCACACATCACCAGACGTGGATAACATTCTAGCAAAAGTTTTGAATTAGCACTAACTAAAAAATATTATGCAGTTCTACCTTACATGCTATCTACACGCATAGCTAAGAAAGAATTGAAAACAAATAGATAACTGCATAAAGGTTGGCTTCTCTAGTGTTTTTCATGTTAATCTAAGTTTTTTGCGTGTGATCGCGCCTCCATGTGTTAAATGTTATGTACGAAGTAAAAGCCATCACGACAATGCTATCTTAGGAGAGGCAATGAAGCCCAATCATATATTCCACATATACAAGGATTTAATGACTTGAAGACTACAGGTCGCACAATTAGAGGTCAGCCACACAGGAGGTTTGTAGAGAATGGCCATATTCACTGGCCTTCGGCACAAGATTCTTTCTGCTTATACGGAATCCTGGTCAGTCGATGATGAAGAACGTGTTGCCCGAGGTTGCATTGATGGAGGTTGCAGTGTGAAAGCACCAGATCGTCTCGAATAAATTTCATCCCTCCAGTGGATGATTCGCACAACCGATTCGCACAACCGATTCGATCGAAGTTTGTCTGAAAAATACGATAGGGAGCGCGATTGAATGTTTTTTTTGAAGCGGCATAGTTGAACAGCAACAAGATAACGCGCTAACTTGTAACGATGCCTAAAAAACTACTGCCTGATACAGCCAGCCAACAAATTAATGAAATCTTATGATTGGCAAAGTTTTAATCAAGACTACAACTAGATTATTTTTTTACAGTTTTCTGTTCAGACAAACAAGATTTTATCCGTAGTTATCACTTTAAGAGTTTATGCAATTCGCGATCTTTTGAACAAAAATAATTATAAATAATTCTCATCATTCAAAAAAGAAGCATTTTTTAGATCTACACAGTGTTTTAGGCCAAACAATGTTTTCAGACT